CCCTGAGTGACCCTGAGTGACCCTGAGTGACCACTGACCGGTACTGCCCAGTGACAGTGAGCCCTGCCCCCTGCCCAGCCGTTCGTGTTCTCACTGGGGACGGGGCAGGTCATCAAGGGCTGGGACCAGGGCCTGCTGGGGTGAGTGACCACTGACCAACTGACCACTGACCCCTGAGTGACCCTGAGTGACCATTGAGTGACCCTGAGTGACCCCTGAGTGACCACTGACCAGTGACTCTGAGTGACCAGTGAGTGACCCTGAGTGACCACTGAGTGACCCTGAGTGACCCTGAGTGACCCCTGAGTGACCGCTGAGTGACCCCTGAGTGACCACTGACCCCTGAGTGACCCCTGACCCCTGACCTGGAGCCCTGGGAGGGGCACTGGGACCCTCAGAAAGGGGGGAGGGGAAATCCCCGGATTTTGGGGGGAATTCCCGGGATTTTGGGGTGAATTCTGGGGGGAATTCCCGGGATTTTGGGACTGAAATTTTGGGGGGAATTCCCGGGATTTTGGGACTGAAATTTTGGGGGGAATTCCTGGGATTTTGGGGGGAAATTCCCAGGATTTTTGGGGGATTTTGGGGGGAATTCCCAGGGTTTTGGGACTCCAGGAATTTGGGGTGAATTTTGGGGTGAATTCCCGGGATTTTGGGGTGAATTTTGGGGTGGATTTTGGGGTGAATTTGTGGGATTTTGGCCCCCAGGATGTGCGAGGGGGAGAAGAGGAAGCTCGTGATCCCCCCGGAGCTGGGTGAGACCCCAAAACCGCCCCCAAAATGGGGGAAAAACCCAAAATTTGGGGGAAATCCCAAAAACGGGGGGAGGGGAGACCCTAAAATGGGGGGAGGGGGGAAAAAACCCGNGCCCCAAAAGCCCCAAATTCCCCCGAATTACCCCCAATTCCCCCCAGCCCCTCCCCCCTTGCCAGCCCCGCATTTTGGGGTCCCCACGAGGTTTTGGGGGGGGAGGGGGAGCCCCAAATGTTGGGGTCAATAAAGGGTTAAACCAAAGTTCTGCTGCCAGACTTGGTTTTGTTTTTTGGGGGATTTTCGGTCATTTTGGGGTGAATTTAACAGCGATTTTTGGGGTGATTTCGGGGTGATTTTGGGGGGATTTTGAGGTAATTTTGGGGTGATTTTGGGGTAATTTTGAGGTGAATTTATGGGGAATTTCTGGGATGATTTCGAGGTGAGTTTGGGGGGATTTGGAGGTAATTTCCGGGTGAATTTAAGGGCGATTCTGGGATAATTTGGAGGTGAATTTAAGGTGATTTTTGGGGGGATTCAAGGTGACTTTTGGGTACTTTTGAGGTGAATTTAATAGCGATTTTTGGGGTAAATTCGGGGTGATTTTTGGGGCAACTTTGGGGTGAATTTTGTGTGATTTTGAGGTAATTTTGGGGTGAATTTAAGGGTGATTTTTGGGTAATTTCGGGGAGATTTTGGGATAATTTGGGGGACATTTTGGGGGAGATTTAGGAGTGATTTTTTTTTTTTTGGGGTGAATTTTAGGGTGATTTTTGGGTAATTTCGTGGAGATTTTGGGATAATTTGGGGGACATTTTGGGGGAGATTTAGGAGTGATTTTTTTTTTAAATATTGAAAGAACCAAAACGAGGCCGAGCCCGAAAATGTCAAAGATGCTTTTATTAAACCCATATAAAAACAACCCCAACCCCCCGGAATTTAAAAAAAACTAAAAAAAAAAAAACCCCAAAAAAACCCCCCTAAAATCTAAAAAAAAAAAAAAAATTTTTTTCCGGGGGTTTAGGGGAAGCCAAA